CTCTATTAAACACTTAACCTGGTCATCTTATTAACTACTTTTTAACAAGGTAATGTTTTAAATGTATAGTTGGAGTAGCGAAATGGCAGCAACAAAAAAATTGTGAGCTGTTACTGTTAAATTTTCTAAAAACCTTTTACATTGTAAGTACCCAATCCATTCTGTCCTTCCTGCACTGCAGTTTTCATGTTACTGTCGCCTGAAATGTCCTGACTTTTCGGAATCTTCATCTGCATGTATGTCTTTGTCTCTGTCTGATGTAAGTCAGTTAAAATGCTTTTAGACGTTTGCTTTTATAAAGCTACGGTTTTTAGTTCAAGCTTTTTGAAAAATGTTTACAGCAATAGATGCTGCTCCGATTTCTTCCCAGTAACTCGTACACTTTCTTTGAAAATCGATCTATTTTGAAGAAAAACAGCTGTTTTTCTCGACTTGGGGGGGGGGGAACGACTGAGAGAAAGGAAGTCTTTCTTTACAAAGACTCAAAGCCGTCACTGAAAACTAGATTAAAACTGGAAAACAAGTCCTAGCTGGTGCAAGCCAAACACCTACGTTAACCCGGTGCTATTTTCTATGGTGGTTGGGATGGCTGGTGAGCTATTTTGCCTTTTGTTTGACTTGACCGTGTTTTCGCCTTTTTGTTTCTTAATGATCACACCATTGCTAAATCCAGAGCAGTAAACAGTCCACAGCGAAGCCGCCTTTTTGCCAGCCCAACCCTGGAAAGTTTGCAGTCGTGGAAGGAGCAGAAAATACTGAGTGTAACTTACAAAAAGGTAACAACAAAAGAACACCATTACCCCAGATTTTTTTCCCAACTAAATAACCAAAACAACAACAAAAAACCTTTCTTTTCATAATAACGTCTCCAAAAACACCGCCCAGTTTTTTCTTCTAGACTCCATGGCACCGGGCTGAGCGGGTAAGTAAAAAACTAAAATAATTTAAAAAAATTTAAGTGCCTTTGCCCCCTTCGAGGAACTCTTGATTGAGCAGGCCATGGGCTGTAGGTGATGGGAGCTGAGGTTTCTGGAGCTTGAGTTTGGCAACCGGTGACAGTGGGCGGGTGAGGGGACAAAGACTCTCCAGACCCCTTTGCCCCTTCTGCCCCAAAGGCGAAGAGAGCATCTCCCCAGTACCCTGGGACATCCATGGAGCTGGCTGCGATAGTCCCTTTGGCTCGCCTCAGGTCTGAACCTTGGTGGCAGAGAAGAAATTGAAGTGCTTTGGAGATGGAGGGGCTGAAAGAGCGAGGAAACCTTCCCACCCATCCTAAGGTTTCGTTCCCATTTGATTGTGGGGTTTCTGCACCCTTAAATCAGCTTTTCGGGGCTCCGGGGCTCGCCTGCTCTTCCAAAGAGAAAAAGGACAAAAGGCCGGCGTCCATGTTGGCACCATGACGCAGCATCTCTCCCGCCTGCAGCCGGGCGCTGCCTGTCCTCCCGGCCGCGCTCGCTCCTCCCTCCCAAACACGAGTTTTATTTTCAGGTTTTGAGCCGAGCCGCAGGCTGGGCCGGGTTGGGGCCAAGGCTGGGGCCGCCCGGCTGCTCAATGCTGCGGTGGCTAATGGCGGCCGGCTCTCCTCCTTCCTTCCGCCATTGTCTTTCCCCGGTTGTCGCTGGGAGGCAGTCCCGGGTCCTAAGAGCCTGCAAGGCAAGGCACCCGGGATGCTGGTGACGGGTCTCTGGGGGCCTTGGGCCTCCGGGGCGTCGCGTACCACAGTTCCCGCACTCGCCCACCCACCCCACCCCCGCCCGCCTGCCTGCCTCCGGGTGAGGCGTGCGACTCCCGCAGTGGCGGCCGCGGGAGAAGCCGGAGCAGGGCAGGGCGAGCCGCTGGAGGCGGGTTGAGGACCCTGATCTCCGCTGAAGCCCCGGACTCCTGGCCCAGGAGGGCACGAGGCCTCTCGCTGGCTGCTGTGCCTGCTGTTCGGCCTCAAAACAGAAGCCAAGTAGCCAAGGGCTAAGAGGCTGCCCAAGCCTCCCTTCACTGCCCACTCGGCTTCAGGAGACCCACCCCTGCCTCCCCCAGTCGTTCTTTGATAGCCGAGCCGGAGGGGCGGGTCTCCCCTTTTGTCCCCCCACTTTGGGATAGAGGCCCGTGCGGTGCCTGAGTCCCTTCACTTGGTCGCCAGGGGCTCAGCCTACAACCCAGCTCTGCGGGTTGGAGGTGTGTGTGTGTGTTGGAGGAGGGGGGCGGTTGGGGCCTGGGAAAGCCGATTGGGGCCTTCCCCCTCGGGAACCCCCCCTCCCGTGACAGTGCCCGAGGGTAAAGCCTTAGATCTCAGCCTTCCTGGGGGAGGGGATGCGGACTGGGCGGGCCTTTGGAAATGCAGATGAGCCGTCTCCTGCTGCTCGTCGCCCGGGCTGAACCTTAGTGACTCAGCCACCCCCACCCCACCCCCACCCATTCCAGAGTGAGGGCTGCCTTGTCAGCTGGAAAAGGGGGGGCACTTCTGAGGCTCCCTTTCTATCTAGTAGACCCTGTTGGTTTGCATTTGGCCGATCCATTCTCTGACCTACAAACTGTGGGACTGCCCTAACAGATCGTCCGAATTCACAGGTGTTGCCCGGAGCCCGGAGCAATGTCTCGGTTCTCCCCACAGTAGACAATCCTTGCCTCCTCTGGACATCTGGAACAGGCCTAATTTGACTGACAGCTTGCCCACTAAGGTAGGTAAGAGCCCTTTTCCCAAGTTGAGAGAACTATATCAGGGGGCTTTGGCCTGCGGCCTTCGAAGGGCGGGTTGGGATCCCCAAACTCGCTGGGCTGGTTCAGCAGCCCCTCCCCCACGCTGATGTGGCGGTTGTGTCTGTGTGTGAAATGGGCGGCCTGCTGGGTCCATCCAGCCCCGCCTGTCAACCTCTGTTGTCAGGCGTTTAGGGCGGGCGATTCTCTGCCGAATTTAGCAACTTACTAGAGCAGGACTACGAAGTATTTCCCAGTGGTGTGTTTTATGGTGGGTGGGAGGGTCCTGGAAGCTTCTGAAGGCATTGACTGTTTCCAGGCTTGCCGGTGGTGCCTCAGCCATTTCTCCTGAGTCCCATTAGGGTGGCCAAATGAGCCACCCTCTGATGTCTGGTTGCTGGCTAGACAAAGAACCAAAAACCCTGAAATCTTGCAACCTTTTGGTTTCCTTGACTTTTCCTGGATTCTCACAGTGGCCTTCTAGCTCCCAACAAGGCCAGGTTGTCGATAGCCTGGCTTCTAGAACCGTACAAAGCTGGCTGTGAAGCAGACGGGCTCTTTACGAGTGTTTACCGTGCGTACTCAGCACGGTCTGCGAGCCTCTCCTTAGCTGCAAAAATTAGGTATCCTAAGTCAGAAGGGGAACTCATTTAACCTCACTGTGCCCGGCTCTACGCGTCTCATTTAGAAGGTGCATCTAAGAATTAGCGCTTCTCACAGGGTCCCAGGCACTGCCAGTTTTCCAGACTTCCCCTGCTAGATGACACCTGGGATATTCTCCATCTGTATAGCTCCAGTTGGCTAGCCCTCCTCCGGCCCAGGAAACTTCACAGCTGAAAGTGGTGTGGCCCTTGATCTCTGACCCCTACCCCCCCCCCAAGAGTGCTCCTAGATAGCTGTTACTTTGATGAGCCTTTTGGCTGCAGGTGCTCCCCCTGTTTTGGCCTAAGCTTCCAGCTTCTTCCCCTTGCTCGTCACCCCCACAGTGAGGGCTGGAGTGTGGCTTGGGGAGCCTGGCAGGCTTCACGGAGGGGTTGTTGAAGGCAGGTTAGTGCCCAGTCGGGGGATGATTGAAGCCTGGCAGCTGTGAGCTAGTGACCTTGGACCAGTGCTGCCCTCCTGTTCCGTTCCCCTCCTTCCCCACCCCCGTAAAAGGATCATAACTGCTGGAAAAGGTTGATGGGAGGATTAATGGCGATTAAGGGGGCCGCACTCCTGCTCTGGCCTCCATCACGATAGGGATTGTTGCTGGGAGTGGCTGCGTGGGTGGGGGCTGGGCTGTGTCTTGGGCTTCTCCCCGCCAGCCCACTTCCTGAAGCACGTGCCGGAGCCTCCAGGCAAAGAGAAAGAAAACTGGCTCTGCTTGGGAAGGCGGCCTGCTGTTTTTCTTCCAGTGCAGTTTTCAGTCCGGGCCATTCCGGGTTCAGTGGGCTGTTCTGTAGTGGGTCACGATTTTTCAGGGTTACCCACTAGTGACCCCAAGAAAAGAAACAGCTCACTCAAGGTTCTGAGGCCATGACAGACAGGGTTCCAGGTTATCTTGGGTTTTCAGCCCAGAGCCTGGGCCCCTGACAGCCCCCTTGCTCAGCTGTCTGGGTTATTTTAGGCACCCTCCCGTTCCAGCTGTCTGCTGCCATCACAGTCAGAGCTGTCTGATAGTGAGGAACCAGAGTGGTCTGTGGCTCCCGCCGGTCCAGAGGGCCAGGCTTCCAGCCCTGGGTGAGCTTGCTTTGTGCTGGGAGGGCTGAACTCTTCGCCCCGAGTGGGAAAAGGCAGGAAAAGCACTTTCTAAGTTGATTGGGTTCATACTATACAGACCTTGTAAGCCACTTGGTCCTTCTAAGGGACCTGCTTTTCTGGCTAGAGTCCTTGGGTCTGGGGTCCTTATCTCCTCAAGCCTCAGACTAAGTAATTGACTAAGTCGCGCTGTGTCAGCTGTACCCTGGAGGGCTATAGACTTTGGGGAACAATTAGGTGCTAAACTGTGGTGTGAATCTTGAAAGGGAAAGACAGAAGTGACAGGGCCAACTTGCGACCCATTTCCACCTCAGGCTCTTTCACCTCCGGTCTCTCTCTCTCTCTCTCTCTCTCTCTCTCTCTCTCTCTCTCTCTCTCTCTCTCTCTCTCTGTCTCTCTCTCTCTCTCTCTCTCTCTCTCTCTCTCTCTCTCTGTCTGTCTCTCTCTCTCTCTCTCTCTCCCCGCCTCCCCCCCTCCCCCCCTCCCTCCCTCCCTCTCTCCCTCCCTCCCTCCCTCTCTCCCTCCCTCCCTCTCTCCCTCTCCCTCTCCCCTTATCACCTCCTGGGCAGTAGGGTGGAGCAGCTTGTGTGGCTGTTGTTCCTGGCTTTGAGGGGTGCCCCGCCCACTGGTCACCCACTGAGCTTGGGGCGGGGCTGCCTTGGCCTGCGGAGAGAGGGCCACGCCAGCGGAAGGACTGCCTGAGCTGGGAGGTGGCTGGACTAGCTTCACTACACAGACTCCAGCGTCCCCGCCCCTTCCGTCTCCTCCACCTGGCCTGGAGCCCTCGTTTGGAATTGACCTTTTAGACACTCTAGGTGGAGACAGTAGTCAAGATGGCTAGGAACACCTCACCATCACCTGCCCCCAGTGTTTTCGCAGACTGTTCTGTGCTCTCAGGCAAGTTACTGCGGGTGGAAAGGAGGAGGGGAAGTCGAACAACCATGTGGGCTATTTCTAACAGAAGAGGGTCTTGCCATGTCCCGTCTAGTCCTCTTGACAGGCTGGAACCACAATCCTTTGTGCCCAACTTAAGCCGTTTTTCCAGCCTGACCTCTAGAAATGACTTGCCCATCCTCCACTGGTTCCTTAGAGCTGTTAGGCAGCCAGGGCCTGGAGGAAGACTGCAGATAGCACCTTGGCTTCACACCCCCCACCCCTTTATCTGTTAAGTAGAACCTGAGTTTTATCTCTCGCTGCTATTGATACCATCTACATTTGGATAGCTAAATAATTGATTTATGGGGCCTCTGAGTAGGGGAGTGGTGCCCTCAGCCTCTCCCATCCTAATTTGTACTTTGTCCTGAGAGACTGAAGGTGTCCTGCCTCTGCTGTCCTTGGCTCATTTCCCTGTTGGCCTCTGTGGCATAGTCTTCCCTGAGACCATCCTGTGGCTCCCTGAGGGGTTTTGTGGCAAGAAGCAACTGAAGGAATCTTTCCCTCTCCTACACTTTCCAGGAATTCCTGGAGAATCAGAGAGTGACCCAGGGCCCCCAGAACATTGCTGGTGAGGGAATAAGCCACCCTGTGTGGGTGAGTGAGTCTTATCTCCTCAGCTAGACCGGCCTGGCCTGGCCTGACCTCTGAGGAGGCTCTAAACAGCAGCTGGCTGGATTCCTGGGTATTTTTAGCTACACAGATCCAGCTCCACCATCACCATGAGAGCTGGGTCCAAATCCAGCACTCCAGGCCTGCTAGTCCTGGGGTTCTGCCAGCCTCCTGTTGAAGCTGGGGTGGGTGGGTAGGGCAGGCTGGAACCAGTAGCGGCGTGTACCCTGAACCCACCTGAGCCAGAATCATTCGCTTTCAGTCACTTCCTCTCTGAGGCCTCCTGCAGACTTGCTCTGAGGATGAAGAGTGCAGACACAGGTCTCGGGGATCTGTGGAAAGTCGGGAGCCCTCTCTTGGCTATATGTAGCAGAACAAGCACTTTTTCCTTCTAAGTGAATTTTCTCCCCTGGCACATGTAGCCAGCCAGCCTCCCTGGCTCTGGACCAAGCTCAAAGAAACCTTGCAAAGGTAAGTGGGTCCCAACACCCTCCGAGCCATCCCCACCTTTGTGATCCACCCTGGAGTGGCCTGCTCTATGTTCTCTGGGGAACTTTGCCTTTGGCATACTGTCCCTCTTTTTTTTTTTTAATATTTATTTATTATGTATACAGTATTCTGTCTGTGTGTATGTCTGCATGCTAGAAGAGGGCACCAGACCTCATTACAGATGGTTGTGAGCCACCATGTGGTTGCTGGGAATTGAACTCAGGACCTTTGGAAGAGCAGGCAATGCTCTTAACCACTGAGCCATCTCTCCAGCCCCCCTTTTTTTTTTTGATTTTCGAGACAGGGTTTCTCCGTAGCCTTTTGGTTCCTGTCCCGGAACTAGCTCTTGTAGACCAGGCTGGCCTAGAACTCACAGAGATCCGCCTGCCTCTGCCTCCGAGTGCTGGGATTAAAGGCGTGCGCCACCACCGCCAGGCTTTGTCCCTCCTTTTTTGTTTTGGTTGTTTGTTTGCTTTTTGAGACATTCTTCTGTAGCTTTGTGGCCTGTCCTGAAACTAGCTCTTGTAGACCAGCCTGGCCTTGAACTCAGAGGTCCACCTGCCTCTGCCTCCCAGGAGCTGGGATTAGAGCTCCCACCAAGGGTTTTTTTCTTTTTCTTTTTTTTAAGCATCCTCAAAGGGCCACTAAGATAGCGCAGCCCTTCCTCCCTTGCCTGGTTTTGACAGGAATCATCTGTTGACTCTTTGTAGCCAGCCCTCCTTGCCCTTCAACCAACAGTCAGGTTCTCCCTGATATAACTGTTACCTTGACAACCCCTTGGGCCTGTTTCCCCCTCACCACTGAAACCTGAAGAGGGTTTTCAAGCTACAGTACATGTGCCCAAGTTGGGCACCGCTACTGCTTCCATTGGCACATCTTCTGCCCAACTGTACCCAATATAACAAACACAGCCTCCCTGGTCCCTTAGCTGATCTCACTGGTGCTGGGAACTCCTGTCAAACTGCTTCCTCCAGACTGCCTCCCCCACAGGCAGGAACATGGTTTCTTCTCAATAAACAAGTTGTAAGAAAGGAATGAACGACTTGCTGGATTTTTGTCTAAGGGGCCCTCCTTGATCCAGTGACAAGAGGCCTCTGCCCTAAAGCTGGAGGTTGATCGAGGTTTTCACTCTTCCGGTCCATGTTGGCTTTTGAGTTTCCGCGAGCGGTCGCTGCTGCCCTCTGGTGGTAGGGCTTTGCCTTGCGTCTCCTGGAGGAAAGGGGAGGGGGCGGGAAAACGAGAAGAAACCCTGACATTTATGGAACCTCCCGGATCGGTAGTTTACTCCACAAAGCGAAATTTCCTGAGTGCTTGCGGAGAACTTGCAAATTAGGTTTCGTCTGGGTGGGGAGGGTCAAGAAGATCCCTGAGCCCTGCTAAACTCCAGCTTGGAGGTTCGCGCTCATGCTGGCAGGCTGCAAGGATCCCACTCCCTGACCACTGGCCTGCTTTTAGAAGTAGATCCTCAGCTCATAGTAACGGGAAAATGTCACAGTGACATCAGCCAACTGTATCGCTAGTACTTGTTTGTATTAAGCTCTCGGCCAAGAGCTACTTGAATGGTGATGGGAGTGGAATTCCTGGGGTGAAAGACACGGAGCCAGAGGACACCAGAACGCTTCTTGGTGGAGATGGGGACTATAGGTTTCCAAAGTTTAAGGAAGGGCCAGGTGCTCTCGACCTGTCAGAGTCACGACAGTGTCACTTAGGTTCACCCCTCTAAGCCTTGCTAGATACTACCTATGTATTTTGAGTCAGTCCTGGAAATAGGCTGTTCACCTGAAGTCACTGCAGAAGGCGTTTCCCGGCAGGGGGCGCTACGGTTCCACGGTGCGGGTCAACAGAACATCCGAGTAGAGACGGGAAGAGAGCAGAATTCCTGTATTCCCACACTGACGAGGGCCAGGCGCAAACTATGTGGACACACACAACCCACGTTCTGGTGTCTTCTCGGGAACGAGCCGCGGGACTACAACCCGGAGGAAAACAGGCCACACTGGCCGACTAGCTGCAAGGGCTGGATGCGAACCTGGTTGCCGGGTACAGCCCCCAATTAAGGAGTCTACGGGGGGGGGGGTGAAGCTGGCCAATCAAAGAGTCCTCGCTAGGAGGCGGAGCCTGCCAATCAAGGGCTGTCGGTGTGAAGAGGCAGAAACCACGAATCTAACAGAGCTGGGGGTGTGCAGGCACACGTGGTGAAGGGGATGCGCTGCGCTTGCGGTTCAGCATCCGGTTCCTCCGTTTTTTTCGTTTCCCCCGGGACTAAGACAAACACCCAGGGCTGGGAACGTAGCAGAGTAATTGTGGCAACGAGGGGAACCCGGGAGGCTGCCTGGCAGAAGTGGCGACAGCTGCCCGAGGGCGGAGCCTCGTAGCCCCGCCCTGCCGCCCCGCCCCCGCCCTGTCGCTCAACTGGGCTCTGGCCAGAGCGCAGCATCCAGCGCGCTGCGGGCTCCGGGCTATGGACGCCCCAGGTGCCCCGGTCCCAGCCGCTGCCCCCAGCTCCGCAAGGAAGGAGCTGAAGATAGTGATCGTGGGTGATGGTGGCTGCGGCAAGACGTCGCTGCTTATGGTGTATTGCCAAGGCTCCTTTCCCGAGGTGAGGCCCGGTAGGTGGCATGAGGGGTGAGGATGGGCTTAGGACCGCGGGGAGCAAGGGGGTATCCTCCAGCCACGATCCAGGCCCAGAGTCTAGACCTTGGAGTCCTGGGTGTCTCCTTCAGGCAGCCCTTCGAGAATTCCCGGGCTTAGCCCAGTGGTTTGCCAGGTCCGAGCTGGATGGAGTGATGGTGTTATACAGTTGTGGGGGAGGGATCTGTCTGGTCCGCCTTTACATCCCTTAAAGGATCAACCCGACCCCTCTCTCACAGCACTATGCCCCATCGGTGTTTGAGAAATACACGGCTAGTGTGACTGTGGGCAACAAGGAGGTGACCCTGAACCTCTACGACACAGCTGGTAAGTGCACCAGAGCCCAAAGGGTCCCCTTGGTCATCCCCAAGGGTTTCCCCTGCCTTCTTGGGGCATTCCCTTCCTGACACCCTACCATGCCAGAAGGTCTCTGTAGGGATGTTGGCTGGCTGGGAGGCCCTGCAAGCCAAAAGAACCTCTGCCATCTCAGCTTTAAGAGGTGGTTAATAGGTTGAGGTGAACTCTGAGCCACCCCCTCCCCCCCAAAGCTATGTTCTGTTCTGCAGCCTTGTTCCTCTCCTGTGGTTCTAGAAAACGTGGGCTGTACTTCTACCTCCTAGGGTTGCAGAATTCCTTACTTACTGTGGTCTTTGATTGAGTCCCCTGGGGCTTGGATTCCAATGGGCTGTGTTTCTGGTCCCCGTAGTTTTAGGTTAGCTCTAGACCTCAGCTGTGACTCCAGGAGTCTGGCTTGTCTGTGTTGAGACCCCAAGGTCCTGTGTCCCTGACTTCTGGGATCCTAGGGCTACAATCCATTTTGTGTTTTCTTGGTTTTTCTGTGAAAAAAAAAAAACAGACAACTTTAGGAAAGAACCTAAGGTCTAAGAATTGGGTCAAAATAAGGTACTACTGCCAGCCCCTCAAAGAGTGGACTTCTGCTCATAGTCCACGAATACTAGGATTCCCTTTGGGGTGCCATGAGCGTTTACAGGATAAAGGTTGAACCAGGTGGAGCCTCACCCATCTTGGTGACTCAGTGTCTAGTGACTGAGTGGAACCACGTCACTGTCACTGAGAGCCCCTTCCCTGCTAGTCTATCCCTGTGTGTGTGAGGTAAAGTCTCAGGTCTTAAATGGAGTCTAAATCCAGGTATTCTCCCCACCCCACCACCACCTGGAGAAGATCAAGGGGGGGCTATTCTTGCCCCAGACTACCTCATTCCTGTAGTAGGTTCTATTGGAGACTTCCAGCTCCTCTGAGTGGCCCACTGAGGCTCTCTGCCCTCCCTCTCCTCCAACCCCAGGTGTGTGAGGAAGGAATTCTGAGGTGTGGCTCCAAGAGCAGTAAAAGTCTGTCTGGGAGACTTACTTTCACAGGCCTCTGATCCGGGAGCCAGGGAGGGGCAGGCCCGTTGACCATACTTTGGGGGAAGTACTGCTTGAGCAGAAGTATTGCGCGCCTCCCCACAGTTCCAGGAGAGGCTGGGAAATCTGTTTTTTTTTTCCTCCCTCTGCCATCAGTCTTTCCTGTCACATCCCAAAGTTCCTTGTTTGGGACCGTTTCCCCCATCAGAGCGGAGACCATTCTGGGCATTTTCAGGAAAAAGGAAGATGCCCAAAGTACATGTCAGGCGAGAGTGTCATCTAGAGGGTTCTGAATGCAGCTGCACGGGGATGGAGGTAGAGCCCAGGGGCTGTCCTCCGAAGGCTGAGATGATGCTACGGTGCGCTGATCGTGTCTGCAACTTTCTGTACGTACTTGAAGCTAGACCAAGACCCTGACTTGGTTCTACTTAGTTGCCACATTGGGGGCATCTGAGTCTCATTTTCCTCATCTTTAATCAGAGCTAAAATAGCCAAAAGAGTGAGATAAAACTCATAGACACAGCATTCAGCACAGCGGCTGGCTCTTGGGTGGCTCAGCATATACTGATATGTATATGCTGAATATATATTGGTTTTTTGATACAAGGCTTTGAAGCCTGTCTTAGAACTAGCTCTTGTAGACCAGGCTGGCCTTGAACTCACAGAGATCCCCTTGCTTTTGCCATGCAAGTGCTGGGATTAAGGGCGTGTGCCACCACTGCCCAGCTTTTGCATATACTGTTATTTAGATTTCTTTTGTGCTAGGGCTGAAAAATCAGACCCTTGTGCATACTAAGTTCTACCCTTGAACTACATCCCCAGTCCTCAGTCTGAGTTTGTTTGTTCAAGACAGGGTCTCTGTTCCTGGGGCTGGCCTCAGACATGCCTAGTGGCCCATGCTGCCCTCTAGTTCTCCAGCCTCCCTTCTAGCCGCCTGAGGTAGCCACACTACCATACACACACACACACACACACTCACTCACTCACTCACTCACTCACTCACTCATGGCTCCCGCCCCAGCTCCTACTGTAGGGTGTGGAGAGTCCACCTACCCTCTCAAGGACTGTCCACTGTACGTTTTCTGAGACAGGATTCCTAAGTCCTAGAGCTGTGTTGAAGAGTGGCTGGCGTGTCATCTGTCACTCAAGAGTGACTGGGGAAGTTCTAATGGCTAAAGGAAATTCCCTGGCCAGTGAGCAGTGAGCATGAGGCTGGCTCATGTGTGTTCACAGTGTTTGTCAGGAGGAGGCTCAGTGGCGGTGGGATAAGTGAATTCATTATCGGGCTAGATGAGTCAGCTCTACCTGTGGCTGGGTCTTGGGATACTGTGGGAAAAAGTGATGGCTAGTAACTGTCTAGACTGGAGAAAAGTGGAGGCTCCGGGGTGAGGGCAATGCCTGAGTTAGAAATGACTCTGGAAAATGCCATAGAAAGCTCTAGAACTGGGGAGAGGGGCCTGCCTCTCCAGTCGGCAATAATCAGAGTTATGGAACAGGAATGACCCCAGAAAGCTAATTTTTTACCAGACCCCGAATGGAATGACAGCCATGGGCAGCGCTACGTCACTGCCCACGGGCCCCACATGTAAGGCCTGTCTGGCTCCTTGCTTCCATTCTGCGGAAGCAGAGACACCACAACCTTTACCAAGCTCAGAAGGTGGAGGGGGTGGGGCCCTAGCACCCACAGCTCTAGTAGCCTCCCCCGAGCCCTGACATCTTCAGACAGGAAGCTGTGGTGAGGCCAGAAGGTTGCTAGGCAGTGGGGTGGTGTCATGGTGTACCCAGAGAGGCTAATCTAGTCTTAGAGGGGCACAGAAGCATGGGGAGCTGTGTGAGAGAGAATAGGAAAATTGGGGCACAACAGCTGCTGAGACAAGGGGTCAAGACCAGAGGGGCATTATGGTCCTAGTGTCGGGACCACTCCAGCCTAGAGCCAGCCAAGTCAGGTACCATGGTCGCATGTCAGGACCTTCCTGTCCCTTCCTGTCCCTTCCTGTCCCTAGGGGGGGAAGGGGGGCAGAGGGGCCCTAGCAAAGCCAGTAAGAGTGGGTGTTCCTCCTTCAGCAGCTTCCCCTTCTCACGCTGCCCACACCTCTAACCTATACTTTGGTCAAAACGGGTCACCTCCTGGCCTCCAGGAGATTCGGGGGTACTGTGTCTTGATGACATGCTAGTCTCCAACACAGCTCTAGGACTCAGGAACCCTGTGCCGGAAAAGGGACACGGTCAAGTGGGGAAAGCCCCATCCACAGGAAATGTCAGGTGGAGGGCTGGCCTCACTTCCACCTGCCTCAAAAACTGCTAGCTGAGGGGAAATGGCACTTCAGAGGAACTCTGGCCACAGCCCCGTTCCTCACTAGAGCCACAGCATGCTTAAGGAGATTATGGGCAGGTGACTTGGACATCTTCATGGGCAAAATAGGAAAACAGACCAACCTAGTGGATGGGAGGCCTCCTTGAGGGGTTCAGAGATTCAGGGGTTAGAATTGCATCCATTAACCTACCTTGGAACTTTCTGCTTCAGTAGTAACCACAATAGCAGTGGTTACACCTCTGCCCCCCCCCCCCCCAAGTCCTTTTGTTTCACAAGTCAGGGCAGAACCTGTGACCCCTTTCCCAGGTAAGGGAATGAAGACTTAGGAAGGAAAGTACTAGGTTGTCCTGGAACTTGGTTTTGTAGACCAGGCTGGCCTTGAACTCACAGACATCCACCTGCCTAGGCATCCCAAGTGCTGGGATTAAAGGCGCGTGCCACCACCGCCCGGCTTGAACCTGGGTCCTTTGGAAGGGCAACCAGTACACTTAACCACTGAGTCATCTCTCCAGCCCCCAAAATGAAGTTTTAAAACAGTGTTTTGACAGGATAACCATTCAGAGAAAAGGGTTACTCTTACTAAGCATGGTGATCACGGTCATGAAGACTCGCCTGCTTTTAAGGCTCCAGTCACAGTAAGGAGGCTGAAGGTGGCTTCATTCCTACTGGGAAAAGGCTTCCTGGGGGACTCTGGGTGCTTTTAGAGTGTCTGGGCAGGCAGATGACTTGATAGTGGGGACCAAGCTGTCTGGCACTGCCCAACTGTGACCTTGACAGGGAGCTCCCCTCAGCCACGTGGGCTCCCTTCACCACCTGGGTGCTGCTTGGATTGTCTTGGGTCAGGAAGTGAAATGCAAAACCCACCAAAGGGCTGTGTGGGGACAGCTCTGGGCTCAGCTGTCTCCCTTCCCTCACTCAATTTTTATTGTGCTCACCTGGCTTCCCAGACTTGCAGTGGTCCCCTACTTGGGGGTGGGAGACAAACGTCAGAAAAGTAATGTGACATCAGATAATAAGATGTATCTTAAAGCAAAGAGAAAAAGAAAGAGAAAGAAAACCCTTGTTAGGGGATAGAGGGACAGCAAGAGGCCACTGCTTCCGGGTGGTTGTGAAAGGTTTCCTGGAGGTGACATTTCTGCATAGAGAAATGAGAGAGAGAGAGAAAATCAGCCAGCTGCAAACTGTTAGGAGAATCTTCTGGAAGAGGGAACAGTAATGGCAGTGTGTGAACACTCTGAACACACTGTGGTTCCTCTTCCTCCAGCCCACAGCCACCGACTCCACCCTCGACTCTACCAGG